TCCTATAGAAAAATAAAAGTGGAGGGAGACAGTGTACTGAAACAAAAAAAGCCACACAGACACTCTTGAAGAGTCTATACTAGGAGCCAGAATATTAACTGCTCCTGTGGAGCCAGTTACTTAGGCCGTACAATTAGGCGTGTTTCGCGTCGAATTTCCGAACATCACCCTGCCTGGTTAAGCAAAGGACGAACAAAACTATTCTCAGCGCTATTCTGGCGCATCTTGTGGAGACAGAACACAAGATTGACGTTAATCATGCTTTCAGGGTCATTTACCGCATACCTACGAATCTCAATTTCACCTTAAGAGTTCGACTTCTAAATATTGCTGAGTCTGTGGGAATCCATATTAACAAGCCTAATTTATGCATCCAAAAGAAGTTAGTTCAGTTATTATTCTTACCTTGGCCATCTAGGTTTGAATGATCCTGAATTTTTGTGGAATTTCCCTAATTTCAGTTGATATTCTATTCGCTATTATATCTTTATTATTATTATTATAATTTAAGCATCTTTAATGAACTGTAATAGCATTGATCATACTCTACAAATTGATATTATTTAAAAAACAATAATATTGTTATTGACTACTAATTTAGAATATTCTATGTATATAAACGTGCATATATAATTGTAGAGCCAGAAGAGGAATTTATCGAAAAGAATATTCTTTGCTCGATTATTTTGCATTTTATATATTAAAAGAAGGCAGCTATCCAAGTTTACTCAGTCGACGGGAAGAAAAATTGACCTAAACAAAATAATAACTTATCCCCGTTGCACAAGAGGCCGCTGTCGTGGCCCAAGTGGTCTAGCAGATAACGAACGTCTTGGTGCTTGAAACGAAGCGTACTTGGTTCGAGTCTCAATGGAGACACTACAACTCTCTGGAGTAAACAGGTTCATCCGGTGATAAGTCTCAAATAAGACGAAAAGTACATGCTGGATTCAACTACTAATTACCATCCACTACTTAACATGAAAGTCAGTCTTCATACATCATCGAGGCGTACGTGCTAGCAGCCGACGTGTCAACAGAAACCAAACATTTCAATGTATTTTTGTTTTTTGAAAGAGGAAGGAGTTTGGAATACTATCACACGACTTTAGTTAACTTCTCTATGGGTACACCAGTAAACAATGAACAAGTGTCATATAATAGTAGTCATATAGCTGAAATACTTTGATTGGACACTAGCAACTAGTGTGAGGTGTCTAGTCCTTTGCTTGGTGCAGACTGAATTCTGTCAGCCAGGTTCGCAATGTGGCTGCCGTTCTAGGTAGCTTGCCTTCGAGTCTAGGAAGGGACATAAACTCCTTAAGGATTTCAGATACACCCTGATGACGAGTGCCAACTGGCACGAAACCTAGGTCCAAGGCTTCCTCCTGATTGCATCCAACCATCCAACCATCAACAATGTAGCTGAAATATCTAAGTGATGTAGTCCACATGAAAAATTAAGTGAATATTCGAGACTATTCAATGCAACCTTTTTTTGATGGGTTCCAATTTTTCGCGAAACATTTCGCCAGCTTATAACCTGGTAATTTCATCACTAATATTATCGTTTTCTGGAGCAAATCTAATCTGCAGACTTTGGATACATGAAGCATGAACGGCAGACTTGAACCTTTTGGTTCAGGGTTAATATAGTTTTCATTGTCAGCTAACTCTTTGTTACGGATCTCTTTACGATGCTTTTTCACTTTTTTTTTACAAAAGCTGACGCTGCATTGATGTTTTGGCCCATTTACCTGGAATTTCACTGTAAAACTTAGAAGTGTCGGGATTTCATACAAAACATTCATGCTGATTCCATATTATAACACCACTACCTTTATCTCTTCTAAGTATGACAACTTTATTAATGTTCTCTAGGTTTCTAACTCTGATTACTGCTTTATAGAGTGAAAATTTTGATTGAGTTATTGCATAAATGTTGTACTGTTCCTCAACCAGAAGTTTAAAGTCAGATAGTTGTATATATGTAATTCCTTAAGGTTCCCATTGGAAAATTGGGCTTCAGGCTAGAGGCTTGGAGTTTCTGTAGCAGTGATATTTATTTTTACAGGATGGGGTGGCTAGCCTTAAGCCGAACCTTCCCTCTTCACCGGTTTTATTATTTGCTTAGCGAGGTAAAGGATTACGCCTGCCTGGGATCGATCCCCAGGCCAGCTGCATGGCTGGCGAGAATTCTGCCACTGTGCTACCGACGTATATATATATATATATTCTGGTGATGAATGCCTCACTTAAATCTTGCATACAGAGCTTCTCTTTCAATCTTGTCTAAATGTATATTCGATAGATTATGCACTTATTTTTTTCAGGGGAGAATCTTCATATAGGTTTTCTACTACTAAGAATTTGTTAATCCTGCTTATAAAAAGAACCACATGCCACTTGGGCAAGTTCTTTAAACTGCATTCACAATACTTCTACAAATCTTCACTTATTTTTATATCACTTTATTCCTCTGTAAATTTTTATTTTCCTTGCAACTTTTATCTCCAATGAGCCATACACCTGCATTTTTGTGATGTTAGACTCTGTTTACTGTCTTTCTGTCTATTTGTCTGTCTACCTATCTAATTATCTACTCATCATTTTCCCATAACTACACAACCTGTAAACAATTGTGGGCTGATTCTTTATACAATAACGTGTGAATGTCGGACAGATAATATCAGAGTTTGATCTAATCGTGTATTGCATATATGCTAGTGTCGAATAATCTTTTAATCAGCACTGTAGTCTAACTGATAACAGGACTAGCATTAAAATGAGATAGATGTAAATAATTTCTAAATCTATAACATGGAACTAGCACCTATTCAAATGAATAGTCGTCAATAATTAACAGACAGAATTTCAAAAACGTTGAGAACGGACAGGACTTTTGCTTTATTCGCAAGACAGTTCATTTATTATGTACCTGGTGAGAAGACAGGAATACGTTGGACTGATAAGAAGATTCTAGAAGATCTGAATTTCACGGAGGAATTATGTCTAAGATCCACAGGCGAAAACTAAGAATTTGACAGAAGAGGCAGGCAGTCAAGACGAGACTTCAAGTGAGGATAGAGACGACAGGCGATTTAGATGCCGAACCAACAACAAGAAACACTTATCACTACCAATGAGAGAAATTTGAAGAAGTTTACTTCTGTCACTTACCCAGTTAGCTACATTTTAGGTACAGGCGGCACGGGTGGAGACGTCAAAACCAGGACCGGAAAGGCAAGACAGACCCTCGTTACTCAAATCAGTGTGGAAATCTGCTGCACCTAGCATAAAGAATAAGGCTCAGATTTTCAAAGCTCATGTCAAGTCAGTTCTTCCACATGGTTTGCAGATTTGGAGAGTGACCTAAAGCATTTCGAACAGGCTGTAGACTTTAATCAACAGCTGCCTTCGATCCATGCTGAAAATCGGTTAGCCAGAAAGGATTGGGAACATGCCGGAGAAAATGGAGATGGATGGGATGCATTCTGAGGAAACGTCTGCGTGACAATGCTCCAGTCCTTCGAGTGGGACCCAAATCGGAAATATTGAGGTGAGCGTCAGAAGGCGATATGGAGAAGAACATGTGAAGAGGAGATGAAAGCCTATAGTCAGTCATGTAACCGGCTAAAGATCACTGTGGAGAACAGAATGAAATGGTGTTGTGAGGATGAAGCCTTTTGTTCCACATGGAACCTAATAAGTAATTGGTAAGTCAGGAGAGAGATCTCATCTTAGGAGCGATTCACCTTTAAGCTCAAAGATGACAGACGGTGGAATATTTTGATGAATTTCGCCTGGAAAATGTAAGGCGATAAGAAGTAGTATTTATTACTAGATAACGTTATGAACTAAATTTATTACTCATAGTCATATAAAGCATAACTCTACACCTCTGAAACCTAATTTTTATGATTCTAGAAGAATAAAGTAATACGTGACTGCGTACTACCACAGCGTTCAAGTTTAATGCACGTGTTAATTCTACTTGGACTTATCAAGTCAAACTGGCTAAACATATAAATGAGGGTTAACAAATGAAACAGTGGGAGATTTAACAGGAAGAGGAGAAGAGTTATTATAGCATTATTGTCAGAGGTAAAATCAGATAAACATAGGTCAAGTACAATGTTAAATACCTTTTACACATAATTTGGACTTGAACTTACAAATATGAATCTCAGCATGCACCACCAGCTTTGTCTGTTTGGAATTGTAGCTGCTATTCTGACCTTATTCATGTTCATTTCTTTATAGTGTGCTAGGGTGGTTAGAGATTAAGAAAGTTGTGTATTAAATGTGCCCCTTTTAGGAATTCGGAGATCAACTATGTATTCTTCAGACAATTTACATGCACTTTTCCTCACTCTCTTCTATATACACGTGACATTACATGACTTAAGAATTGTATATACTGTGAATAATTTCATGAATCCAATAAGATCGCAGTGTAATTAATTCTAAATGCCGGCGGTGTGTGCTCCGTCATCGTTGGGGCATGTGCTATGAACGTTTTCGATACAGTTCACTGTTTTTAGCACTGGAGCTAGCGAAGAAGTGGTCAAGCTGTGATGTAGTTCCGTGGAATAAAGTGTATTTATCATGTTTTAACATTTGTGTGTGCCTCATGACTCCTTAGGGTAAGGTTTGACAGGTCATGCAGCACAATCATTTGATACGTAGTCAGGTGTGTTTCAGAATCGAAATAATTGGCGAACAAGTTGCAGTTTCCTTCTTTCTTCTACTGCTGAAAGTGAGTGAAGGGAATGACACCCTTATGAGTGTACTCAATAAAAGTATGCTCAATCTCCTTATTCTGTTATCCTAAAGGTGTTAAGTTTCTTCATACTGTTGTCTGATTGCTGCATGTATCACTTTTCTTGGTTCTCAAACTGTACCACTGATAGCTAGCTGAAGTAATTCCCGGCGTTTGTCCTTAAATTATTCACCACTTTGCATTACAGGAAATTTTAGCCAATGGTTATCTCTTACGCATGAGAGAAGCACCACCAACTCAATGCACAGAACATGATTTTTTCGAAGATAATCATGATAGTGAGAAACTGATGAACAACGGTGATCACAAAGTATCAATGACGAAGTCGGATTGCAACAAGATTTCCAATGGACATCAATGTAAATGGCCATCTCCATCAGCTTATTTCTATTGTAAACAATGTAATAAACTTTTATGCACTGAGTGCAGTGGACAGTTTTTAATGTCATCTAGGAGTAATGCACACGGAAGTCATCTGATCTTACCACTTGACACTGTAATACATGAAACTAAAAGTGAAATCAGCGAGCAGATTGATCGTGTTAAACGGAAAAATGCACATTTTGAAGTAAGTTTTATTACAGTTTCAATCATAGATTGTGCATACCTTTTTTAAATGACCAGTAGGCATTTTCATATACTTCTATGTAGTGCCATGTAGATAATTTGTCCCGATAAGTGAGTTATGCAATAATATTCTAGTCATTTTTGGATATGACCACTAGAAAAACCTTCTGAGAGTATTTGAAAGAAATTTAAGTGCTATTATTTCCTAATCACTTAGTACCAATTCGAGAGTCAGTTCAGTGGTAGAATTCTCGTCCACAAAGCCGCTAGTAGGCTAGGATTAGTTCCCGGCAGACGCACTTCCAAGCCTCCGTTGGTGGTGAAGTCTGGTGAAGAGGTAAGGCTGGAGGTGAGGGTGGCAACCCCACCCCATACAACAACAACACCACTGCTACTAAAACTTTGAAGCTCAATCTTAATGACCTATGTTTCACTCAGAATGCAAAGGAACAAGAAAAAACTAAGTCTAGAGAATTTCCGAATTTATAAATATATTCACAGGTTTATTGATTGATCCTTCACCCTTCATGAGTGAGACAAAGTTTGAATTTGGGCATAATGTTAATATATAATTCAGTGTTACACGGTAATAGTATCCTCACTGTAAAAAGACACCAACAACTGAATCATACTTAAAAATCCTCAGAATAAATGCAATAAGTTAAAACTTAGAGAAAATCAGTGTTACTTGATACCACAAAATAGAAATCAGTAGGTGAAGGAAGTTGGAATTCAAATATGGTCGCAAGAAACTAAAGAATTCTACTGTTCAGTCTTCAGTGTGTTTAAAGTTGGTGACGGATTTAGCTATTTATCTAACTAACACATAAAACTCGACTATCAGTAACTTCATTCTCAAGTGTACTGGTGTAAGATTCGGACTAATTTGCTTCTTAGTTACTCCTCTTTACTACAAAGTGAGTGATTTAATTTAGAGAACTAGTGAGGATTCGGATTAAGATGAATCCGTCCGCAACAGTAAGAACTAAGTAAAAATTGCTTGGTATAACAGAAATGTTACTAAAATACTGTGAAAAACATCAGGGGATACATAGATGACATTGGAATCTTAGAAACGACAGTCTAATATTCAGTGGAATGCAGAATAATGTGTATCCATGTGGATATTCAAAAGTACTAATGTAAGTCACATGGAAAGACTATTAATTTCACTTGAGAATATACCACTATATATTGGTTGTCTATCCTTCGAGATGAAGACGGGAGTAAGACAAGGCTGGCTGGCTGCCTACTATCTCCAATGACTAATTTCCTGATTGCGGTTGACTAGATAATGCGACAAATGGCGGGCAACAAGGAAACAGGCATAAAATAAACCCACACAAAAAACTTGGTGGATCTTGACTTCGTCGATGACATATGTCTGATTTCCCACAAACTGGAAGATATGCAAGTAAGAATCAACAATTTGGAAGAAGAAGCATCAAAGATAGGCCTTCAGGTGAACATAGAGAAAACAGAAGTGAAGATGAAGATTCTTGGCCAAAAGCAACAGCAACACCAACAACAGCAGACAATAATCAGCATAAATGGGAGAAATCTGAAAGAAGCGACCTCCTTCACCTACCTGGGAAGCATCGTTCCATCTACAGAAGCGTGAAAATAAGATCCGGGATTTTCAACTCCAAAGTGAATCCAGTGCTACTATACGGATCAGAGACTTGGCGCGTCACGAAGGCCACTTCATACAAACTACACAACTTCATCAACAGCTGTCTTCTCTCAATACTACTCAACATCGGATGGCCAGAAAAGATCAGCAACAGGGAGGGATCCATGGGAGCGAACCAACCCAGTAGGAACCAATCGTGCAACAAATAAGCAGGAAGAAATGGAGGTGGATTGACCATACTCTGAGAAAACCTTCAAGTGACATCACACAACAGGCTCTCTCTCGAGTGGAAACCAAATGGGAAGCGGCGAGTTGGTCTTCAGTGAGACGGTTACATGGGGGAGGGGATGTGAAGAGCAGATGAAAGCATGTGGGTAGACGTGGAGTCAGGTGAAAGTGTTGGCAGAGAACCGAACGCAATGGAGATGTGTGGCTGAAGCCCTATTTTCTTCTAGGAATCAAAAGAAACAATAATATAACGTACATGAAACTTAGCACTAAAATCCACTGCAATTATAAAGGAATTAACATAAATACCTATTGTATAGTGGGTATAGCTTGTGAATGATTTCCAGTTGACAGGCAACAAGTTAAATCAAATTTTTATCACTATTCCATTGCAGGATAAAGTCCAACTTTATCGGGATGCCACTAACGGCTTTGTCTAAGTGTCCATATACTAATCCTGCATTAAAATATCAGTTGACCTACTCAGACCACCGAATCAAAAATAATAAATTCCCGAAATTGAGATCACAGTTACTGACTGATTTTGTTTTTTTTAATTAAAATAGGATTATTTAAATCATCTTGTACAGTATGGTCACGAACTCAATGAAGCAAAAATGAGCATCCTTCAACAAATTCAAGATAGATCTGATCAACTTAAACAAAAAATTGACCAGATAGCTCAGAAACTTATCAGTCAACTTGACAAACAAATTCAAGATGAAATGAAACTGATTGATGGATGTGCATGGTCTTTATATCCATTAATTGTTCAATGTGAAGTAGCCAGTAGATATGCTAATGCACTGAAAGACTATGGAAGGTTAGTAGCAAACTTATCTATATTGGAATTATGGATAGAATATCAGTAATCATGTTGTGGAATTAATAGATAGCAACTAAGTGTGATATCGTTAATGCAAGTCAATTAATGAAAAGTTTCCAGAATAGGATTAAGATTAAAAATTAGTCATGGAATATGTTTATTAGTTTAACCGATTGAATATCGGAGAAGGAGTCTGCAGGAGCTTGATTAAACTGATAACATGCACTTCGTCTCATCTTTAGACATCACTCAGTGAAAGTAGCAGGTATTAATGAGAAAAATGTTAACTACAGACAACTACTAAGTTTGGAAACAAACGATGTTTACACTAATGTGTTGTTTTCTACTTTAGTAATTACATTCTCAAGGTAAGACTTGATAGAGGATTTCATCATGAGCTGATATTAGTTAGAAAACCATTGGAAAACCTAGGAGTACTGGAGAGCTGTTTCGTCCTAGTTTGGGACTCCTCAGTAAGCCACTAATGGCTTAATGGTCTGCGAGCTCGTCTTATAACCGGAAGGTCCTAGGTTCGAATTCTGGCCGATGGGTACGCGATGATGAAGAGTCCCAAATTATGACCAAACAACTGTCCAGTATTCCCTGCAGGTTTTCCAATGGTTCTCTAACTGATGTCAGTTCATGATGAAATCCTCCAACCAATCAAACAATAATCCCTACAAAACCAATACTTGACAGTAAAACTTGGTGCTTGTATATCAACTGATACATGACGGAGTTTCAGCATAGAATTCCATATTAGTTTGTTTATTAGATATATCACACAGTGAAACAGTATTATTTACTGGATGACGTTTCGAACAAAATTTATTGTTCATAATCACCTCAATTGTGATCACACGACTTTGACACTTGAGTTTTATAGTTTTCTTTGTCCTATCCTATTTTTCGTCGTTGGGGTAGTAGAATTTTCCAGATATCGGGGACAGGTGATGAATCATTCCTATTACATGTATTTACAGTTGATTCGATAAACAAAGCTTCTGTTATCAATCTCTCCCTATACCCTGTGACATTAGATTTTAAAACTGTCATCCTATCCCATCCTGTTGTATGGTTGTGTGCAATTGCATGTAGTGAGTGGTATAGCTGAACTATTCTCTAGATTTCTTATCTTATTCGGGTCAACCAATCGAGATTTTGCTAAGTTTTTATGTTCAGCTAGTCTGACTGCCCCTATTCTACTAGTTTGACCTATGTATTTGACCTGACAATCATTGCAGGGTATTAGATAAACTAAATTGTTTTGTTTTAAAGGCTCCACAGGATCCTTTAACCGACAAAGCTTGTTTCTAATTGAGTTTGTGGGTTCGAATGCCATTTTTATTCCTGCCTTGTTAAGAATTCTGTGTAAGGCTTCCGAGGTTCTTTCCTTGTATGGAATTACTACTGATGATTTAGATTCTTTATTGTTGGTGTCGTCATCATTATTATTGTTATTATCACTATCGCTACTATCATTATTTATTTTATTTTTACATTTCCTTACATATTTCCTGACTAATTTATCCGGGTAATTATTAAGTTTCAAGGCTTCTTTTATATGTATCAGCATAGAACTTTGCACAGAAATGCAGCAGCACTTCAAGCTGCCACACTCCATATAGCACACAAAGGTAGAGTAAAGGGAAATGAAAGAAATTCCAAAACACTTTAGTGAGCAGAAGTGTACTTTCAGAAAGAATAGTAACAGGGAAAAAAAATCTAAGGATTTACTGGATTTGGGAGATTACAGCGAGTGAGAGCATCTGTGCCACTGAAAACAGTTTTGAGCTATATTACTAATAGACTCCAGCCATTGATTCTTAGCATCCCGAGGACCATATCTAAGCAGTCCACACCTCCTTACGTGGCTCAAAACAACTGTCAAAGATGCAACAGACTGATGCCAGGTTTCGATTTGACGATTCAAGTTCCTTTTGGGTTACACATGCAAACATTAAGCACTAGAAGACTTATATCCGTTAGATCTGGTATTTGTTAAGACGGAGAGGCGATATGTTGTTAGTCCTTTTTTCTTAATATAATTTCTTTTTATGTTGTCTACAGTGTCAACAAAGGTTATATGATTAAGCTATTCGATTCAAAGCGAGTGAGTATCATTACCATAGGCACCTCATTTGCTGCAATGAAACTTAATAGTCAAAATTCTACATATTGGTAAACTAGGTAGCTTTCATTTCATGTTGAATTCATGTAAATGACTTAATTTCACTTCATTTCCAATGATATCTTCCCGAAATTCATTTGTTTAGATCTTTCGCAATGATAGTTCATATTCTGTCAGAAATCAAGACTAACCATATTTACCCATAGAAAAAACAAAGCAAAAAGCAATTTTTAGTATTGATAACCTTCGTCCAACATTTGCTTCTAAGTTATTGAAAAGAGCTTAGAGATAGACTCATTCGTTTCATAAAGGCCTCCATAAAAGACCTGCTACAGTCGAGGTTGGTTAGCCTCCGGTCTTCCTCTCAAAATGCTCTCATGTGACCACGCTTCCATGATCTCCTCCAGCTAAGCCCCATTCACTGCGGAGTTGTTCCGCTTAAAAAGGAAAGGGCAAATACGAACGTCTACCCCTTACAACCAGACTGGTGTACATGCAGTTCTATCTAGGAGAGGTGGAAAACCCTAATTTCAAACCTGTGTTGTACATTGGCTCCAAAATCCAAGAGGGAAGAATGGTGTATGAACCTTTTTGATCACTACTCCACTACCTTGGGGGTCAGATTTCAAGTGAAAGGCTAAGGAGGTGAATCCTTACGACAATCACCTGCTTCCCTCTGGACGTCCAGAAAGTATTCCAGCTCTCGCCTAACTTACCAAATTTTGTGTAGCGCATCTCCTGGTGCCCACAGCGTACCAATTTTGTGTTTTAATGAGGACGTAATAATTGTTTTATGAAGAGAGTTGTGTAGACTGATGCTGGTGTAAAGACTTAAAGTCACATCACTCAGTGCAGTATCTTGGGATGTTACCAGAGACTTATTCGAGTGATTCTGTGTGCACATATGGATGAAGCGTATTGAGAGATCACTGGATATTAACCAGAATTATTTTATCTGGGCGTCTACATTCGTCATTTCTGGTAAAACTTTATTGCTATTACTTTTATTATTCTTCCCCTGGGTTCCTAGTGGAACATAGGGCTTCAACTACACGTCTCAACTTGTTTCTGTCTTCTGCTGTACTTCTGACTTGCATCCATGTTAGTCCATACTGTTTCAACCCCTCTTCACACGATCTCCTCCATGTCACCCTTAAACGTACCACTCACCGCCACCCTTTCGGGTTCCACTCGAGCTATGGCCTGACGCGCGATGTCACCCAGCGGCCTCCTCAGCTCAGCGAGTGTCCAATCCATCTCCACTTTCTCCTGCATATTTGCTGAGCGATTGGTTCTTGTCTTGTTTGTTCCCATAGTTTCTTCTTGGTGATTCTTTCCAGCCATCTGATCTTCAGTATAGAGCCAGCGAAGACAGTTGTTGATAAAGGTCTGCAACCTGTTGGAAATATTCTTTGTGACCCGCCATGTTTCTGATCCGTATAGAAGAAGTGACTGACTTGACGTTTGTATTGAAAATCCGAATTTTGTTGTTGATGGTGAGTTGAGTGACGAAGATTTCCAGATTGGTTTCAGGTTGATGAATGTGTTTCTCGCCTTCCCGATTCTCGCTCGATTTGACATCCTCGTCCGTTCCTCCTGTAGTTGAGACAATGCTCCCTAGATAAGTGAAAGAAGTAACCTCTTTCAAATCCTTCCCGTTGATGGTGATTGGCACTGGATGTTGCTGCTGCTGTTGTTGTTGTTGGTTGGTTATTTTGATAACCTCCGTGTGTGTGTATGTTCACCTGGAGTCCTGTCTTTGCTGCTTCTTCGACCAGTTTGTCGGTTTTTGCTTGTCAGTCTTCGATTTTGTGTGACATCAAACATAAATCATCTACGCGCGAAATCCAGGTCTTCTAGGTTCTTCACGACGGTCCAGGATATCCCTGTCTTCTTCTCGTTTCCCACTGTCTGACACATAATCCAATCCAGTCCACGAAAATTAGGAATATCATTGGTGATAATAAGCACCCTTGTCTGACTCCTGTGTTTACTCCAAACGCCTCGTTGAGTTTTCCGTTGTGGATCACTTGACATGTGCCGTTGTTGTACAGCTGTTGAATAAGGTTGATGAATATTTGGGGTACGCCGTAGTACTTGAGTAGTTTCCAAATTACTTCACGATCAAGTAAAACTTTATTACTCCGAATTAATACCACTTCAAAGAATCAGTTAAGGAATGGAGTGTAATGCATCTTCAAGTAGCTTTTCAGGTTATTATAATTCAGTTATATGATATATGTATATATACTTCTGTGAAATTCAATGTGAAAATCTCTTTTGCTGTCAACAAATCATTTTTTCAAAAACCCCCTTCAAAGTTTACACGCTCATACTACACACCACGCCACTGAAACCATTAGTTAGCAACTCTCAAGCTACTAATGTGAATTTTTAGCGTTAAATTGTTAGACCAGTAATTAACAAATTTGTTCGTTCACGTTTTCCCTTGAAAATGCATTAAACAGAAAATATATTCTGACTCATATTTTTGTATACAGACAAAATAATCAAGAAAGGTATCATCACTGTTACATATCAGGGGTAGTTCAAGTCACTATAAAGATGTTTTTCAGTAGATTAGCCACTTGACTTGGTTTTGTTAACAAAGTGTTCGAATTTTTTGAGTCTATTTCAAAAAAAATTTATGGGGAAAACTTTCTCAACACACAGTACACTACTCACTCATTATAGTAGTATATTAAAAATAGCTGAAATTGATACTTTGTTGTATTGAGTTCATAGATGTCAGAAGTAGTTTTCTTTCTGCAGTACAAAAGTTAGCTAACAGAAATCATAGAAAATGTTTCACAATATTTAGTAGTTACTGAATTACTTGGTCACTAAATTATTAATCAACGAAAAAACAAGTAATTCACTAATGTTTGGATGACGGTTACTCATGAATTAAAAAGTTACCTATAACTTGTCTGTATAAACCACTTGTACAACTTCTAATGCTTTGGCTAACAATATTTTCTCATTTAAGTCACTCTAGGTGAAACCTTAAAGTTAGATGTTTTCAAAATAATGGGTAGTCTTTCTTAAACCTTGATGATTCATATAGTTAATGTCTCAATTGTTAGTGCATTCAGTCAGTTGATTGTTGTATACACCTTATGTGATTTATACCTGGTGAGTTTTATGTGTAAGTCAGAAATACAGAAGTATTTGAAGTTTTGTGCAAAGTGATTAAATTGAGCACTGATTTCAAATACGTTTTTGGGGCTGTGGCTCACTGGTTATGGCTATCGGCTTCCAACTAGCGGTCTCGAACCCCCCTCTACCTATTGAAGTATAGACAACCAGGTGGTATTAATAACCCTCACACAATAGGTGTGGCCCATTTCCAGCTGCACAGATATGCAACTTGTTGCGCTTAATGACAGCACAACGAGCGAGCAGTCACACCTGAAGAACAGTGATATGGCGCCATATTACATGAATGCGTTAAAACAAAAGTTCAAATATTCTAGGTTGCTCTACAAGTAACATCGTTACTGTTGTTGATTACTTATTTGCATATTTATCTCTGCTACTGGCTATTCAATCGTTAAAAAAATTTAAAATCTCATATTCCGGCTAAAGCAGATGTCTAAATTAATAAAATAGAATAAATTTCAATGTTTGTTTGGCAGTTTTTGACACTTTATTTATCTCATGCATTCAGTACAGTTTTGAAATTTGCAAACAAGCATAATAATATACCTAGTAGTTGTTTCTGGATTATGGAAAAGTTTATACTTCAACAACCATTAAGTTGATAAACTCGGTATAGATACTGTGCTGATTACTGTCTGTTAACTAGGTGTGTGTATTTCGAGTTGTTTTCACTTTTATCCGTCTGATGACATTTGTAGACTGGAGTTTCTCATACGGCTATCATTAGGAACAGGTTGTCATTAGCACTTTACCACATTATTCATAAAATTAAACTCAATAAGCGATAACAAAAAAATGCAGTGGATATGTATTAAAGTGGTTGTAATAAATACAGCTTTAACAGTATGTTTAGTCATCTGCTCTGTAACACCATCTGTTCTTGTCATTTAAAATATTTATTGAAAAATATGATGACAGTTTGTTTGACTTGATACAAAATTCAACAGGAGTTTGATTTTTATGCCCCTATTTTATTAGTTTTTAGAATCCAGGGAAGTGTCTAGTTCTTTGTATTAATGTTCACGCATTTTAAAAGAAGATAATATTAATATGTTTCAACTTTAGCCACGGACTGATGCCAGTTAGAGAACCTTTGAAGACCAGGGTTACTAGGTACCTGTTTCGTCCTACTTTGGGGCTCTTTGACAGTACGCACTAAGGACCAAACCCATGATCTTCAGGCTAAAACTTGCCACAAATCCCTACAAACTAACTCTTGAAGATTAATCTGATGTCCACTAGTGACTGATTACGACACAAAGTTGCCTGGATTTTGAATGAGAGGTCAGGAATAGTGGCGTCCACGAGATAGGAAGTGAGGACACATACTCGTCGATGACACTGCCTGGTGGTCACGCTGAAATCGCGAGTAGACAGAAGTTAGAAATCATGGGATAGTGCACTTAGGCATAAGTAGCTGAATAGTCAACTCGTTTGACCTTTTAGCCTGAAGATTCTGGATTTTGTCCCTAGTGGAGGGGTCATGGTTACATGTTGCTAAAGAGTCCTAAACTGGGACGAAGCCACTGTCCAGTACTACCTGGTGGTTTTAAGAGGTTCTCTAACTGATATCGATCCAAGAACAAACTTGAAACCAATCGAATTCCTACAAACTAGCTCTAGAAAATTTCAATTTTAATACGTAGTGATTTTAAACAAGTAAAATATCTCAAGGTTTTGATGTAGCAGAACTTCTGCGGACTAGCTATTCTATTTTGTTTGTAATCTGGAAGTCTGTAAACACAAATTCATCGAATTGGTTGAATCCTTAAGCGTTTGAAATGTTATAATACGAGGTTCTAGTGAGTGTATGGTCAGTAAGCGAATTGGGGGCAGTTCGACTACAAGTAGGTCTGAATAAGAGGCTGATTATTTCTGTGAGTTAAAAACGGAGATGATCAAAAAGCGCACTGACGACCTATATTTTGTTTGACGAAAGGTAGCCGTCAGAATTAATCTGCCAAAAAGATAATAGTTTAATTTAAATCAATATGTTTCAGATTCAATTCTTACCCAGTATTCGGATATATATGCAAATATATCAAGCTAAATAGATGAAGGCAAGATATAGTTTGTCTTAGTGTTAACATCTTCCTAATTTATTAATGAATCATTTATTTTCATACACTGATTTTCTATACAATCTTTTCCAAGTCATTCAATAAATAAAACTGTTTTATTGACACCATTTTACTATGCTTTGTTTTCAGACCAGAAGAGATACTTCTTTGCTTATCTCAAGTGACGGAACAACTACAATTTTTACAACGAGAAAAGATTGAATATCTTAAAGGTAAATTTAACACTATTTGCTTAACAGTAACAGGATGACAATGATAATCTATTTTCAGAAATTCTATAGTCCAAATTGATATAAGTACAAAACTTGAGCACTGTGGTAGAGTATAACTCCATTATGGATAAGATTTTATTTTATTTTGATAAATCATACAGTATTGTACATTAATATTAACTGATGACCACGTTTCGAGCACAATTTGTCGCTGCTCATAATCATATCAAGTCACTCACACAACTTTTTGCTTCATTTATATACATGAGTAAAATTGATTAGACATTTGAATAAAAATCAATTTTAAGATAAAGTACATTGGGAAATAATATTAGTGTTAATAATCAAATACAGTCAAATGGGAAATAAGATTTTTTTTACAGTAAGAATAAGTAACTTGTTGGAATGTTGCAGAGACAATGCCTGTAAGCTACAGGACCGGATTAAACAAAATAATATAGTTTACAAGATACCATACAATGACTGTGAGGTCAACCACATAGGTCAGACTAGTAGGTCGGGGGTAGCCAGATTCTCGGAACATAAGATTTTAGCTAAGGTAAGAATGGTTGACGCCGAGATGATAAGTAATTTAGAAAAAAGCTCAGCGATTGCACTTCACGCATTAACACACAATCACACAAGAGGGTGAGGTATGCAGAGAGAGGGGTTGATTACTGAGTCCTTGTTCATTGAGTCTACACCCAACACATGCAATGAGAATGACTCATCACTCATACCGGAAATGTGGAAAATACTACTACCAATCAAGTGATGGAAAATAATGGAATTATATAAACGAAGTTAGAAAGTTGTGTGAGTACCTTGATATGATTATAAGGAATAAATTGTGCTGGAAACGTGGTCATCAGTAAACATTACTGTATAACACTGTGAGACGTTATCAAAATAAATTTTACCCATTATAAGTCTACCGCAGTGTACAAGTTTTATACTTATATCAATAAACTGAACATTCATACATCGCTGAAACCAAAAGCCAGTGAATTATTGTGCATTACTACCGAGAATAATTTTCCAGCCTCGTCTGCTTTTACTCAGCAGTGCCAATCGGGGAAGAAAATGGTATGGGATTCGTAGCAAAATTTCTGCATATACTGGTCAGTGAAAATTCACTACTTCGCTAATTTATACACCTCTCTGGTTTAACAGCTCATATGCAATATCATAATTATTTGCCATTAAACTCCTAATATAAGAATAACTGAAGTCATAAAACGGCTTTTCTCATCTACTTTCAGCAATCATGTCTGAGTCGTAAAGTAATGTAAAACAATCTGAACGACCGTTGAGAAAAACAAGTTGATTTTTGAAAAGGGATGAGTTATAACCGTTACTATTCCATTCTGAAACTATCAATTATGGTTGCTTCTCCATCACAAATCGAAATTATGTCGAAATTTATTGTTATGTCATGAAAACGAATTATTGGGAGAAAAAAGTTATCAACATCTCTCTTATACTGACTTTCATATAAGACACGATCACATTTCATAGTCTTTCGCTGTTAAAATATTATCGTGTATTCAAGGCATAGCCATAAATGGGCTTTTCATTTAATTACGTAGTATGTAGTAAAGTCACACAGTTAATATATTTATCTTCAGTTTTGATGTTACTTATAATTTTTTAAGTAGCAACATTGTACTCACAAAATAATTGGATGAATAATTGTAATGATACTTTGAGAGTTGAACTTGTATCTAATTCACGTTAATTTTCAATCGAGTGCTAAATAATGAGATTCTTTAAGAAAGATTAGGAATGATTAAGAATTAGCTATAAAAAGTATAATGATCAGGAATATGATAACAACCTGACTTTGTAATGTATTTAAGACATTTAGCACCAAAGTAACTCCTGTTAAATCGACAACTCAGTTTACCATTTATTTCCACGAGATCATTACTTTCCAATAACCTGGAGAATGAGACTCAGTAGTTGACCAACTTCGTGATAGCATACTTGTTCTGTCTGTATGTCTGTTTTCGACATAGAACTTTGCACATATGTGCGGCAGTTCAAGTCGCCACACCCCCTCCTTGTAGCACACAAAGCAAGAGAAGAAAGTGGGAGAAATGCATAGTATAGACAGTAAACAGAGGTGTATAGTAATAACGAAGAACAAAACAGTTTCATTGGAAATCATGAGTCACAAGGAGTGGATGCATCTGCGCCAGCCATTGAGAACGATTTTGAGCCATGTCACCAATTGTTTCCAACCATTGGTTTTTACCATCCCGAGGACCCCAACCAGGAAGTTTACATCTTCCTACGTGGCTTAAACTAACTGTTGTAGATTTCATTGACTGATGAAGCCATGTTTTAGTTTGACCGCCGCTAGCTCTTTTCCAGCCTGACCCTATGTCAGCTAACATTGCCCATTGAGAAAGGCGATGACTAGGAATACGTAACACATGTCCTAACCATCTCAGTCGATGTAATTTCACAGCCTCGTCGACTGATTTCCCCGCCTTACCTAGCACTCGACCGATGCCTAACCTCAATATTGCTCACCTTATTATACCACTTCACGCGGGAGATGGAACGCAGACACCTATGATCGAACACAGCTAATCTTTTCATGTCTTCTGCTCTCAATGGCCAGGTTCACTCACAGCCATAAAGGAGGACGGAGCGGACTGTTGAGCAGTACACACGCCTTTTGGTCGATAGTCGGATATCACGTCTACTAAGCCAGAGACGGCGTAAACTGGCATATGCGAAACTAGCCCTCTGTATTTGTACCGAGATTTCGTCTGAGATAAACCCGTTGGGGCTGATGCAACTTCCCAAATAAGTGAAGTGGTCAACGTGCTCTACCACTTCACTCCATATTTCTAAACTAGGAGTCAGTGTAGTCCAGTCCTGTAACATCATCTTACATATTACAGGGGCGAATCGCATGCCAAACATACGAAGATTGTTGCTCAAGGTGTTCAGTAGACTCTGCATTTTGTCAGAGTCCTCGCCTAGAAGGACTATATCGTTCGCATATTCTAAGTCAACGAGGTTATTCCCTGGTAGCAAGTCAATCCCTGAGTCGCTGAAGTGTGTTACGGTTAAGTCCATTAGTACATCTATGATGAAGTTGAATAGAAATGTGGATAATGGGCATCCTTGACGGACGCCACTAGTCGTCACCACACTTGTTCACTTGACGCTGTAGGTTCTATCCAAAAGGGTGCGCGAACACTAGGTCACCAAATCCTGATTTCAATATTTGAGGATTAGTTGATAGGATACCAGAAGTACAAGTTTCTCCAGACTTGTTAGTATAGTGCTTATTTTACCATAATTTGAATTCCTTTTCCCTCGAAATACGAGTCTGGAACAATCATTTTAAGACATGAGTTTCTTAAATGATTCTATATGTGGCTCTTTCAAATTTCGCCAGAACTTAGAGTAGTACCTTCACAATGTGGTGCTAATGTTCCTTGGTTTATTTTCCAGTTATCCAGAAAGGTATCAGTCTGAGTTTTTAGTAATTTCACCACAGTTTTGATTACGAACTGAAATCAGTTAGAGAACCATTGTAAAGCAGGAAAAGGTGAACGGCTGTTTCGTCATTGTTTGCAATTCTTCAGCAACATGCACCCTTGACTCCACCAGGGATCGAACTCATGGTGTTCAGCCTTGACCATTCAACTACTGGGATGGGTTTCAGTGGATCATGAATTTTAACTTCCACCAATTCACAATATATTGTGCAACCACCAGACAATATCAATGGTGATAATTTGACCTGACGCCCAGCTTGGTGGATCCCTCAGATCACGAATTTCCATAAGAACTTTAGGCAACTTAGTCAGTAGTCAGTACTAAATTAATTTCCAGGTTTTGGTTTGCAGGGGGCTATATTTATTTCAGTTTGGGTCAAGAATTGACTCCAGCTAGAGAACTACTGGACCCCTAGGAGTACTGGACAGCTCTTTCATCCTTGTTTCATTAATTTATACTGTGTATTGCTTAAGATTTCTATGCGAAATGTCTCATCATTACGATGTTTTTTAAAAAAGGTATGAATAGCAGCCGTTTTACACTTCATACACAGTTTATTATCACCATAACTTTACTTTTACACTAATTTTTTTTAGTTCATATAAAGCCACACTTTAAAGTTGGTAATTACAATTACAATGAAAATGAAACAGAAACCACTAACCAATCATCATTCAATTCATCTTATCTATTTGGAACAATTGAATATGATAAATTAGTAGAGGGATTTATGAAAAATGAAGTTGATGCTAATAAAAATAAGACAAATCAACATAATGAATTGAAATTGGAATTGGATAGTTCATGCTTAAATATTGATCATATATCAGTTGGTGTAAACACTAGTCCAAGAGAAATGACTTCACTGTCCAGTTTCAATCTTGCAGACAGATTTAATAATATTCATAGTAACAGAAATAATGACTCAAGGGTGTTTAATTCTGAGTGAGCAATTTTATTTCATTCAATTTTTTTAAAAAAAAGAGTTTTTTTAATACTGTGATCTTTTGAGTATTTAGCACTCTAATAGCCACGTTTTAATACTCATTTTGTTCTCTGATTTAAAGTTTTCAAGTCAAAACCCCATCTCATCTGTTTCACAGGTAAAATGTAGCTTGGACTAATGTAAAATCCCTTTACCAAGAAAATTTTTACCGTCAAAAGGAAACAGAAACTATAGAGAAATTCCACAATCAGAAGGATAAATGGTTGCCATCGTGATATAAATAAACAAATTCACAGTTTGCAGAGTTCGAGGAGTTGAAATCTCACCATAGTTTCCTTTGAAAATCAAAATTATTCAGATTACCATGCTTGATCTGCCTCATATCACAAATAGTAATCAAGAAAACAAGTATACATGAATAAAACTGGATGGCTGCTTCTGTCATTTGGGGCAGAGCTCAGCAGCGGTGCACTCAGTTTTCCTCAGTTAACACAGTCGATAGATCACCTCGGTCTAACAAGCAACCTTTACTATAGTTGGTCTAAATGCTATGCAACTATTCATCTCATTCAGATCGTGGAAAATACCCATTAGGACATTAGAAAGAAGAGAATACCAAGCTCAGCAAAATTACCTTTTTGGAGATTTCATTTTCAAAAGCTGTGCAATCAATTAAGTTATTTTACATAGATACAATTTTTAAAAAATTTGATTCCACATAATTACGAAGGCCAATAAAAGGTGACAATTATCTTTAACTAGATATGGTTTACGAAAGGCTTAGAAACAAAATTACACAGGATTAGAATGAATTACAAGTGTGTAAAAAATGAGCATGGAAACATATTGAAATAATGATTTTCAACTTTGGATGGAAGTTTATTTTTTTTTATTGTTCCCTTGGGTTCCTAGTGGAACATAGGGCTTCAAATGCACGTCTCCACTTGCTTCTGTCTTCTGCTGTACTTTTCACCTGCATCCATGTTAATCCATACTGTTTCAGCTCCTCTTCACACGATCTCCTCCATGTCACCCTTGCACCGACGAACCACTCGCCGCTTCCCTTTCGGGTTCCACTGGAGCTATGGCCTGACGCGCGGTGTCACCCAACGGCCTCCTCAGCTCAGCGAGTGTCCAATCCATCTGCACTTTCTCCTGCATATTTGTTGAGCTATTGGTTCTTGTTTTGTTTGCTCCCATAGTTTATTGTTGATGATTCCTTCCGGCCATCTGATCTTGAGATGAAAGTTAGGTGATGTGAATATAGATTACAATAGCCTTAAAAACAAAAATTACACAGGATCAGGATATAAGTGTGAAATAGTTATTTTAAACGAACTACAAATGTGAGCAGGAAAATTCACAATAGAATTAGAAAACGAGTCAAAGATTCCATTTCTGGACGTGGAATTAACCAGAAGAGATGATGGAACTCTGAAGAGATCCATTCACAGAAAACCGACTTGGAACTGCCAACTAACGCATTTCTATAGTTGGATAACTTTGAGCCAAAAAAGAGCTCTCAATCATCGCACTAACCCATCTCATTAGAAAAACCTAACTTCCATCTCAAGCTGAAAATTATTATTTCAGTTTGTTTCCATTCTCATATTTTACACACCTTTAATTCCTCCTAACCCTATATAAGTTTGTTTCTGAGCCTCTCGTGAACCATATCTAGTTGAAAATAATTGTCACCTCTTATTGGCCTTCGTAATTACGTGGAATCACATAAAATAATTGTATCTATGTAAAATTACTATTTAAATGCGATTGATTGCACAGCTTTTGAAAATAAAATTACCGAAGAGATATCTCATTCAGCCAGTAATATAAAGTTTTATGCACTTAAATAGACATTCGAAGAGTTATTTAAGGAAGCGTGCAAACATACTTATTAAATTAGTAAACTTCATTGTCAGTACTTATGAGAACCACTTAAATGGAGAATTACGATCGGACTGAGGAAATGAAATTATCACTAATCTGCAAAACATTATGATCAATTATATTTTTAAAAGTGTGTCGGTGGCATAGCGGTTAGGACGCTCGCTGACCATGCACATGGTCCGGGGTTCGATCCCCGGTCGACGCACTGCTGTACCTCGCTAAGCCAGAAATAATGCTGGTAGAGAGGAGAGGTTGGACATGAGGCTAGCAACCCCATCCTGTAAAATAAATACTGCTACAGAAATTTCAAGCCACTAGCTTGAAGCCCTATGTTCCACTGGGGAACGTGAAGGAAAAAAAATATTTAAAAAAAAGTCAAGTCATATGTGTAAAACAGACAGTTGAAGTCAACTTATTCGAATTATAACATAATTGGGATTTCTATTAACACGTCTCGTTAGTATCACATGTAACATTCAGTATTCAAAATTTTAAAAGAATATATATAACTATTTAAGATTCTAGTTATATGCTTTACAGTGACACCTATTTTGAAAGCTGTTGCATGATTTCACTAGTGTGAAGCCTATTTCTGACTTCAAGAGGTGTCACGCTGAAGAGGAAAAAATGTTGGAATGATAAGAATTTTCAGCGCTTCATTAGGTAATTCTTTTGGGATGAAATCCGCTACTAAACAAGCATGACCAATAACTAACGTCCCCACTCAATATCACATACCATCAGTGTACGCTGACAAAGATTACAAACCGCAACAGTACTCTATATTGATATAAGAGTAGAATTTGAGTACTACGGTAGAGTATCATGCCATCATATTATAGTTAAATTCGATAAAATCTCACAGTGATGCAGTATTCTATACTGATGACGTTTCGAGTACAATTTGTTCCTCACAAATGTGCCACGGCACTCACATGACTCTCCAACTTCCTTTATATAACTCCATTACTTCTTACCCCTTGATTCGATTGGTAGCAATGTTTTCGGTTTGTCTGGTATCGATGATGAGTCACTGCTATTGCATATTTTAGGTGTAGACTCGATTAGTAAAGATTCATTGATTAACCCCTTCCTCCTCCCGCTTATATTACTTTTTGGAAGTGTAGCTCTTCTGAGTTAGTGCAATCGCTCCATTTACCAATCGAGTTAGTCAGGTTACCAGAAAATAAGAATTTAGCTACTTGTAGAATGATTAATCCCAGGAAGATAAATAGCCGTGAGAAAAAATCAGCACTTACGATGCATTCACTAACACAAAATAACACATTGAATAAGTTGTGTTATCTGAACTAGTTGATTTAACTGAGAAGCTTTCGTCATCCTCCTTCTAGACAACATCTTCGGCTCAGGTTTTAGTATAAAATGAACTCATTTATTCGTGAATGATGTAATTGTTTCTCCTGGCGATCACTGTCGTGACTGGTTGTTAATTTACATCTCTATTGGTCAATTTTATTGACTTGAAATTCGAAATCTCTTATCATGCGATTCACTTTTTACCAGCTCGTAAATATAGCCTATAGTAATTGGTGTGTTTGTTAATTGCTGGTTGATTCACTTGACTACCTACCAGGCTTATGAGAATTACCTGGAATTTTTGGTGTTTCTTCTATCCTAAATTTCTACATTCTCCCATTCATCAAATTAGTGTTCACCATTATCCACATGCTTTGATACGAAAGAATATATATTATGCCTTGTTTACAGCCAATTTGTGTTCTTGGATTCGGATTCGAAGGGGTCACTCACTTTTACCGATGTAATGTTTACTGCAGTTGATACAATTTATTTAGTAAATAGTATTAATTTTATCTTCTTTTCCCGTTGGATCTTCTAAATCGAATGAAGTGATTGTAATTTGAAAATTCTCATTCAGTCATAGAAAAGAAAAGGCGTTCAGCAAAGAGTTACTCTTTTCGGCGATATCATTCTCAAGCTGTACAAACCGCAAATTTATAGTAATTTTTCTTGGCAACAAAAGGAATATTTCCAAAGATGTGTTAATACAAATGTTAATTTTTGACAACAAATTACGTAATTTAGAAGGCGTTAATCGGTTAGAGACCAAAATAAAGTTACAAAAGTAGGTTGGGTGACGTAATATAATTGCTAGGGTTCAATGAAAAATGAATGAGAGTCAAGTTAATAATCTGAGTAGAATTCACTTGAAAATGGATGAGAGTTAGGTTAATAAGCTGAGTAGAATTCACTTGAAAATGAATGAGAGTTAAGTTGATAAGCTGAGTAGAATTCACTTAAAAATAAACGAAAATGGAGTTAGCAACAGTCGTCATGAGGGTAGAGATTTAATAGAGGGTGGGGGCAGAAAATAATGCAATTAAGAAACAGACAAACAAAGAAGAAAGAGGTAAGACAAAATTACGTATTTGGTGTTGAGATAGATCAGGACCATTGTAGATTTAGTGACTGAACAAACTTCTTTTGTATGCAGAGTTCAGGATTCAATATGTGAATTGCCATTGCTTCTGCAGTTTGAAGAAGTTTAATTCTTACTCTTTTGGCGAGATTCCCACGTATTGTGTAGATAACTGAGAAGTTGTTTTGTGGGTTTGCTTGGTGTCCGGATTCGATCAAGTGTTCTAGGATAGAGCTGTGGCGAAGGGATCTTCTTTCTCCCTTATAAAACCATGAAGGTAAGTGTTCTCTGGTTCGTTTGGATAGCAAACGCTGGGTACGGCCGACATACTATCCAAACGAATCAGCGAACACTTACCTTCATGGTTTTATAAAGGAGAAAGAAGATCCCTTCGCCACAGCTCTATCCTAGAACACTTGATCGAATCCGGACACCAAGCAAACCCACAAAACAACTTCTCAGTTATCTACACAATACGTGGGAATCTCGCCAAAAGAGTAAGAATTAAACTTCTTCAAACTGCAGAAGCAATGGCAATTCACATATTGAATCCTGAACTCTGCATACAAAAGAAGTTTGTTCAGTCACTAAATCTACAATGGTCCTGATCTATCTCAACACCAAATACGTAATTTTGTCTTACCTCTTTCTTCTTTGTTTGTCTGTTTCTTAATTGCATTATTTTCTGCCCCCACCCTCTATTAAATCTCTACCCTCATGACGACTGTTGCTAACTCCATTTTCGTTTATTTTTAAGTGAATTCTACTCAGCTTATCAACTTAACTCTCATTCATTTTCAAGTGAATTCTACTCAGCTTATTAACCTAACTCTCATCCATTTTCAAGTGAATTCTACTCAGATTATTAACTTGACTCTCATTCATTTTTCATTGAACCCTAGCAATTATATTACGTCACCCAACCTACTTTTGTAACTTTATTTTGGTCTCTAACCGATTAACGCCTTCTAAATTACGTAATTTGTTGTCAAAAATTAACATTTGTATTAACACATCTTTGGAAATATTCCTTTTGTTGCCAAGAAAAATTACTATAAATTTGCGGTTTGTACAGCTTGAGAATGATATCGCCGAAAAGAGTAACTCTTTGCTGAACGCCTTTTCTTTTCTATGAAGTGATTGTGTTGGCTGGTTTGTGTGCTATATCTATTTCAAACGGTCTTATTATTCTAGCCGTTATTTCAGAGATCTATTTTATATATGGTAGGATGAATTGTCTTGTGATCTTCGATGTTAGCCCATTGTTGGTGTTATGACTCGAATTTAAACACTTTAAACACAATTACACAATAGGGTGGAACAGAGCTACAGTTCTAAAAAGTAATCTAAGTAGATGGAATGGGGAGGTTGATCACTGAATCACTGTTCATCGAATCTAAACCCAGCATCTACAATACGAATGATGCAACAGTGATACCAGAGATAGATAGAAAATATTATTATTACCGATAAAATCAAAGGATTAGAAATTGTGGAATTAATAAAATAAACAAAGTTTGAAAGTTGTATAAGTGCCTTGATATGATTATTAGCAATAAACAGTGCTCGAAATGTATGCAGTAGACAAATACTGTATCACAGTGTATGTTTTTATCAAAAAATATTGTAAATATAATGCAATGATGCTTGATTTTAATCATCACTGTTAATTAATTCATTGTACTATCGTCATGTTTTTTTCTCCACACAGATTACTAGTTGACTGATGTGTTTAATGGGTCAAACAACCTGTCCTTCTGTAGTATAAACAGTGTCTTATTGAATAGCATACTAAGTTAGTAAGATGAAACAAGTTGAAGGTTGAAAAAATATTTCAACAAAAGCCTGATTCGGATTATTTAAATCAAAAAAAAATGAAATCAGGACACGGTGTGACTTGTCTCAAATGCTAAACAAGTATTTAACATCAAGTTCGCTGTCAGCTGATCTATTTTGTACTATGTATCAGCTGTCTCAATCAAACTGACATCTTAACTGATTAAAAATGCCCATTAAAATTTTTCAAAATAATGGTTACTGAACAAAGAATATCATTTTCGATAACCCCTTCTTCATCAGGTTCTACAGTTAGACATACATAATAGTAGTGAATGAGTTAGTGTTATTAACAACATTGATGTTGTTTAAATAGCATCGAATGAATAGCATTAACATAACAATAAACTGAATGTCAGAAAAATTAGGAAAGATAATAATACAAATTCATGAATTTATAGTCTCTACTGAAGGCCGGTCAGGGCAGTAGTAGGGGCTGGACTTGCTTCTTTTGCACACAAAGTACTGGTTATTTAAGGCGAATCTCAATAGCCTCTGCTGTTTGGAGCATACAGTACCTCAGTGTTTTTGGCAATTTATTTGGTAATCGGCAGATGATAGAGAAGGATTCTTCAGTGCTGACTTTGTGGCCGGTTTGGACCAGATGGTCTAATATCGAACTATTGATGGTTTTTACTACAACCTTACTTAGTCATGTTAGGAGATGTTCTCGAACACGAAAAATAAAGTTCGTAGAGCAACGGCTAATACAACCCGCTCCACAGGCGCAGCACTGAAGAATCCCTCTCTATCATCGGCGGGGTACCCAACAAATTATCAAAAACATCCAGGAACCACATACTCCAAACAGCAGAGGCCATCGTGATTCCTCTCAAACAACCAGTACTTTGTGTGCAAAAGAAGCAAATCCAGCCCCTACTACGACCCTGGCCTTCAGTAGAGACTACAAATTCATGAATTTGTATTATTATCTTTCCTAATTTTTCTGACATTCAGTTTATTGTTATGTTGATGCCATTGATTCGATGCTATTTAAACAACATCAATGTTGTTAATAACACTAACTCATTCACTACTATTATGTATGTATAACTGTAGAACCTGATGAAGAAGGGGTTATAGAAACGAATATTCTTTGTTCAGTTACCATTAATTTAAACTGACATCATCAAACGTACTGTTAACGTATTACTTGTCTACTTCTGTTGACATATGCTGAATATATGTACCCCTAGAAATTGCCTTGAGTTTTATATTGTTATCATTTGTCTGATGTGGGTTATCAATGAAGCACTTAGTTTTATTTTCATCCTTTCGGGACGTATTAACGAGATATGCCTGAGTCAACAACTGAAATCCAGTACCCACAGTTTCAGTGTGACAACTTATGTCCCATAAAACAAACAACAGGAAACTACAAGGAAATAATAAAATGCTATTAAAGAGATGATTAACGTGGCTGTATAACCTCATGGACTAAAGTTTAGCATTCGCTCTCAGCAGTAGCAGCACAATCTCGATGAGAAGTCAATAATTCTTAAACAGAACATACCTTATTATTATTATTCAATTGCGTTCCGAATGGAACAAAGGGCTTCAACAACACATCTCCACTTCGTTCTATTTTCCGCTCTCCTCTTCAGCTGGGCCCACGATTGACCATGATCTCTCATCTCCTCCTCGCCACACGATCTCCTCCATGTCACCCTCGCACCGACGAACCACTAGTCGCTTCTATCAGGACACCACTCGAGAAATGCCTGCATTGCGCGCGATGTCATTCGATGGCCTCTTCTACGTACGCCCGATCCACCTCCATTTTTCTCCTAAATATTTGTTGAGCAATCGGCACTTGGTTGGTTTGTCGCCTGCCAGAGTTCCTCGTTCCTAATTCACATTGGCGTTGAAAATCCGAATCTCGTTCTTGATGCTGGCTGAGTGAGTGCAGAAGATTTCCAAGCTGATTTCAGTTTGATGAAGGCGTAGCTTACCTTTCCGATTCTGGCCTGCTTTGATATCTTCATCCCTGCCATCCACCTGTGGTTGGAACCGTGCTTCCTGGCCAGATAAGTGAAGGAAGTAACCTCTGTCAAATCTCTCCCGTTGATGGTGATTGGTGCTGGTTGTTATTGTTGCTGTCGGTTCGTTGGTTGGTTGTTTGGTGTTGATCTTCATCACCTCCATCTTCTCTATGTTCACCTGGAGTCTGCATTTAGAACTCATTAATTATCAGCTACATGAATATCTTACCAACTTATCTTGGTCAAAGCATACCAAATCAGAAAGTGATTCCCGTCGTATATTCACATGTATGATGGGAGTTACAAGAAGGTTAAAACAATGAACATTCATCTTTTCATAATTCAGCACTTATCTGAAAAGAGAGGTCGCCATCGTTTAATACTTTGGAATTGGGATTACACAGGAATTCAATTGCCAGGCTGTATTTCATTAGTTTACTAATTTCGTCATCTAAACCCACCACATTTTGTCGCATTTAACTTTCCGTAGAATTTGTTTGTTTCTATAGGCGAAATCTCTTCAAATGTTAAAAAACATTCCAACTCAGAGTTAATCATCAAGTATTTCGAGGTGTCAGCAATTAACAGAAATAAAATCGTTCTTTCTATGCAGACGATAATTATTAACTGATATGTCAGAAAGCCTTAGATTGTACCATGAAAGAAATAATTAGATGTCACCGCCTAAACATAAGACACATTTGCATGGAGGATTTTCATCATGAGCTGACATCAGTTAGAGAACCACTGGAAAACCTGGGAAAACTGGACAGCTGTTTCGTCCTAGTTTGGGACTCTTCATTTGCAAAGACGATGATTTGAAAATTAAGTGTTTTATTCAGTTTTAGTTATTCTCAAGTGTTTTCCTATTTTGTGTAGGCAGACTTTAATTCCGAATTGTTTAATTTTTTTCCCTTACTCAGTAACCATCTCAAAATCAATGACAATTTTCGTACGCCTAGAAATGGATACTTGTCTAATAATATCAAAGATAAAACTATGAACAATGAATGCGATTACTTGTCAAAATATCAGATGATCAATGAATTAGAATTCGATGCAAGAGTTAGTTCTGATTTACGAGATGTTTGGCCTACTGGATTATCTGTGAATCAGTCCAATGGAGATATTTATCTTGTGGACAGAGATAATGCCCGAATAAAGGTAAATGTACATTTGTGTGTGTGTGTATGAGTGGTGTTTTAGGAGATGTAATTTCCGATAGAATCAGTAACATGATGGGAGTTCCATTGAACAGGTCATTCATTTTATTCCTTTATGTTCCCAGTGGAACATGGGGTTTCAAGCGAGAGGCTTGAAGTTTCGGTAGCAGTGGTACTTATTTTTGCTAGCCTCATACCCAACCTTCCCTCTTTACTAGTCTTATTACCGGCTTAGCGACGTAAAGGAGTGCGTTAGCCGGGGATTGAACCCGGACCACATACGTGGTTGGCGAACATTTTGAAGCTGTGCTACCGACGCACAAAACACTATCAGGGCGAGGCGCATGCATATAGCACAAAGTCTTCTTCAAACCTTGTACATAACCATTAGGTCGCGTACTATCCCACTACCTTTGGCAAATCTGGGAACAAAAGTCACGAGGACGCCATCAGACCATATGACAGGTTAGATGCCCCAAACAGGGTATAAGGCTACAAAAAGGACTGCAGTTTGTCGATTTAATAGTCTATAACGACTTATGTTTTCAGTTTATATTCTGCTTATATCATTGTGCTACCGAAACTTCCATCCATCATAATTCTTGGACTCTTCTGCATTTCTTATTGTTCAAATCATACGTTTATATTCATTGATCACTACATGAACTTGCTCACATTTTTAATTAGTTCTCAACAAAATGCTTTACAGTTCTTGAAGAAAATGAAGGAAGAACCTAGTAGAGAATTAGAGCTTTTTTCTTATGGAACAACATTGCTACACTTGATTTACTGTAGATTTTTCTTTTACTTGTAGATGCTGTAGGAAGAGGAAACATTTTTGCAGCTAAGTACTCTAAGAATTCTTATACTTTATGTTAACATAATATCTGAAATAAAGCTTCATTATTATTATTATCATCATTATTCAAAGAAGTACAGTTAGTCTTGTGAGTCAGTGGCATAGCGGTTAGGACGCTCGCCGACCGTGCACATGGTCCGGGGTTCGATCCCCGGCCGACGCACTCCTTTACCTCGCGAAGCCAGAAATAATGCTGTTAAAGAGGAAAGGTTGGGCATGAGGCTAGAAACCCCATCCTGTAAAATAAACACTGCTACAGAAACCTCAAGCCACTAGCTTGAAGCCCTATGTTCCATTGAGGAACGTGAAGGAAAAAAATAGTTAGTCTTAAGTGCGAATACTATTCATTGTTGAATAAGGCTAACGTAGACTAATTCCGTTATAACCAAAAGCGGCGAAAGGATTTGAGTTCTTAGATGCTTTCAGTAAAGTGTACTTCTTTAATGATTATGAACATTTCTCATTACTTCCTACTTTCTCCTTATCCTTGTACTCTTATATTACCAATGTTTCGTCTTTTGTGGTTTCATCAAGTCTACCTCAATCTCCAGTGAAAACTAAGTTAACCAAATATGGGTTGTCTTGAGACAGTATTGAATCATACCCATAACTTGCAAATTACACAGTTCAAAGTGAAATTTCACCACAGTTTCATTTGGAAAGCAAAAATATCCTAGTGAAAAACTGTGATCTCCATGTTACCATGCACCGTAATCAAAATGGCAGGTGAAATAGCGTGTTGGTATAAACTATTGACTGATCTGAGTAGTTGGTCAATTCTCATCTCGAACTGTGTAACCTACAAATGACAAATTAATTCTGTGTCTATTATTAGCACACCCAGATAGCTGGCTACAATTCGAACGGTTAGGCTCACTGAACTGAGTCAGACCGAGTACACCCTTGACGACCTCGGTCTTAAACGAGCGGAACAGCCGTCAGGTGTTTAGATCACTTGGATTTGGCTGGTAAGCATTACTAGTTGATATAAGCGGTCTTGAATTCCTTCTACAAATAAGTAGTAAATACCTCAATAATATTTAAAAAATTGTCAATATTTAAATTTATATATGTCATCACAGACCCAGTAGTGTGCCCATTGCCTAAACTTCTACAACCATTGGCTACGAATGTACTTTGTGTTTCTCAAACTTGCATACGAGATAAAGTTTGACTGTATTGTTTACATCAGTAGTCACACGTATAACTTCAGTTCAAATGTGTCTGTAAGAACTGAAAATGTCAAAAAAGCACTAGACTCAGCCTATCCTCCCAAATGGAACTGAATTTACCTAAGATGTAGTATTCGGCAGTAGATTGTAGGATTAATTGAAACGAACGTGGCGGCGTTGATGCATTGAATGGTCGTCACTCCACAATATGACTTAAAAAGTCAAAAATTTTAGTAGATAGATTCCAACCAAGCTCATAGAAGCTTATATGAACACTGTGTAAATCAAGAGTCCTAAAGTTGATCTTTCAGTCATTCCAATATTCCTCCTGAAGATGCTACCTATGATAAGCCACCTAAAATCATAGACTTTAAATTAACCTAGAAATGTGATCAATTCATCAGTTTCTAAGCTGATATAGTTTTCAATTCATTGCAGGAATAACTGTGTGAATACTAATGTTACACTGAATGTCAATTAAAAAAATAAGCTAGAGTGAACAATCTTATCTAATCTCTTTGTTTTGTGAAAACTCATTCCACTTTGGCGCTAGCGCACTAATAATAAGAAGCGCCTAAAGGTGAATTGATTAGATCTCTTTGCAATTAATGTGAGTAGTTGTGGAAACTGAAACTGAGTGACAGAAGACATTAATTTTAGCTTATAGTGAGTAGTTCTACTCAGAGAACTAACCAGAAACAATAGGCATCTGACCATATAATTACTTAGAAGACCAGTTCATAATAAATTATACCAGGAAGAATCTAGAATTCAGAGTGAGAGAATTTTGAAAGTCAACTGGGCTGCACTAGCGTTTTCTTCAGATGTTCCTCTTGAACTGTCGTAACTATCCTTGTAAAAATGAAATACTGTGTTTCATTGAAGCTTAACTGTCTGCTGTGAGGATAAATGTTTCGTTAATTCTAATCTTTGGCATTCAACGGTATATTAGCTGTCACCAGACCTGGTAACATTATTTTTCCAACACAGACAAAGCTCTTTTAGGTGTTGGGAATAAATAAATGTAAGCCTGTATGCGTGACTCAATATGGTTCTTGTTATAAACAGTCTACTATTACAGCATTTGATTCTGTCTATGAGTAATTCAGGTTGGAATGGTCTTCTCGTTGTCTACCGTATCAAGCTGATTTGATTATGATCAATAAACTGTGCTCAAAACGTCATCAGTAAATATTACTGTACAACGCTGTGAGACTATATCAAAATGAATTCTCTTCACGGTGGAACTACGAGCCTGGTCCTTAGTGGGGACTTGGGTGTATACCGATGAAGAGTTTCAAACTAGGACTAAACAGTTGTCCAATGCTCCCTGGTTTTCAGTGACCTCTCTAACCGGTGTTAATTCGTTAGAAAATCAATATTGGAATCCGTCCCAAACCCTACAGAACTCATAATCCTAATATCAATAATTCAATTTCTTGATCGTTACCATTTATCAAGTGACTGCTTGCATGGATTTGATTAGTTACAGGTTTGATTACCAGCTGATATCAGTTGGAGAAGCACTAGAAAACTAGAGAGTGCTGGATAAATGCCTCGCACCAGTTTGGGACTCTTCACTGGTGCGCACCCACCGAGGTTTGAACCCAGGAAGAGCTATTCTTGCGGTTAAGTCTCGGGTTCAAACCCCGGCAGATGCACACCAATGAAGAGTCCCAAACTAGGACGAAACAGTTGTCTAGCACTCCAGTTTACCTGAATGAATTAGCTGATAAACGTGAATAGTGCTTAGGCGCTTGAATATTTGCCCAATAAAGCATCTATAAATTTCTTAAAATTTCTATCTTAAGAATGTTGAACAGATCGAAACAATGAAATATCCTCTTAATTTCTCTTTTCAAATACTTTATATTTCCTAGCTTTTCACACATGATGGAACATTTATTTCAAGTTTGGGGGATACAGGTGAAATGACTGATCGATTGATAAGTCCATTTGATATTGCAGTATCATCCACTTGGGGAACAATATTTGTATCTGATTATCAACGAGATGAGGTGAGTAGTAATCACTTTCTATTGACTAATTTTTCACCTACATTGATGAAAATATAAAGTTAGCCCTTCAGATGTTGTATAGACGGACAGTCGAAGGTTCCCATTAAAACCATCCTGCACAAAGAACATAACAGTTTTAAAAGCTTCACTATCTACAGATTTTCCCCATTTTTTCATCAACAAGTCTATAACAGTTTAACAATACTTGTTCTCTAGTGCATGAACACAATTTCCTCTTAGATACTGATTGATAGTAGACGTGAGGTTGTTTCGTCTTTCAGCATTAATCAGTGAAACCTGTTTTTAGTTTTATGGTAAGCATAAATTACCTCATTTTTATAACTGTTTTATCTTAACTAATACCAGTAAGAAAGCAAATTAGCTAGGTATTCCATATTAATTTGTTTATTATAAATATCATACTGTGAAATAGTATTATTTACTGGATGAAGTTTAGAGCAGAATTTGTAGCTCATAATGATATCGATGTATGATATATGTAGTAAATAAACTAATGTGCAATTAATGAAAACAAAACACGTAGTTCAGCGAAGAGTCTCTTTTCAGCGGCGAATTCATTTTCTTAGCCGTAGAATCGCAATAAATATGGGTTATTTTGTATGTATGTGTACATTAAATTTATCAAACAAAAATACAATTGTCAAGCATTGGTTTTTTGTAGGGATTCAGTTTGATTGGTTGAAGGATTTCAGTAGGGTGCAGCAGGCTGAAGGTGAGGCAGTAACTCGTCGAAGAAGAAGACATTGCAAAGTGGTAGCGCTGTGCCATGAATTGGCAGAAGTTAGAATTAATAGACTGGTCATTGGATCGGGTCCTAGTGGCTCAATGGTTTACGAGCTCGCCTTTCAACCAGAAGGTCCTGGGTTCGAACCCCGCGGTGCGGTCGCATAATGCTGAAGAGCCCCAAACTAGGACGAGACAGCTGTCCAGTACTCCCAGGCTTTTCAGTGGTTCTCTAACCGACGTCAGCTCATGATGAAATCCTTCAACAGAAAAATACAAATGGTTCTGGTTATTTTAACTAAAGAGGTGGTGAGAATTAGTAAGTTTTGGGTGGAGTTGCAATATAAAATAAAGGTCATGTAATTTGGGTGTTAATGAAACTAGTGTAGTAACAAAGGTGATGAGTTGTCACAAGCAGTTGTTAAAAGAAGTTATGTAATAATATGAATAGTTCGATGATTGAGTTGTACTCAGGATGCACATAGAAACAAAGTAGAGAATACGAAATTACGCAAGAGTTCCAAATGAATACAAGAATTATAATGTGGAATTATATACTACCACAGCATCTCAGTTTTACACATATATTAGTTTCATATAGATAAGATACATTACGCCATTACAAACATAAATACAAATTTAAAACACACTGTCAGATTTCTGTATTAAGAATGAAAATTGTACATTAGTTTGTTCATTATATAGATCACGTTGGGACAGCCTTACTTTACTGTGTGTAATAAGCAGATTTATCCGGAATTATATTCTGCCTCAGAAAATTTAAATACATCGTTCCGACTACAGGGGTCACAGTACGGATGAGGATGTCAAAACTAGAATCGGAAAGGCAAGACAGAGATTTTTATCATTCTGAAATCAGTTTGGAAATCTGTTGTACTCAATAGAAAGAACGAAATTCGGATTTTCAATGCCGACATTAAGTCAATTGTTCTATTTGGGTCAGAAACTTGGCCCGGGGCTCAGGAAAAGCATTTCTAACAGCTTTCTGAAGACTTTCATCAACAGCTGCCTTCGTTACATATATAAGATCAGATGGCCAGAAACAATTAGCAGCAAGAAACTCTGGGAACGAAACAATCAGGAGCCTGTTGCTGAGGAAATATGCCCTGAAGAAAATGGAGATGAACTGCACGCACTGAAGAAGCCTTTGGATAACATCTTTCGCCAGGCCGTCGAGTGGAACCCGAGTGAAAATCGGTGAACTGGGTATTGGTCCAAGAATGACATGGAGAAGGTCGTTTGAAGAGGAGTTGAAATCCTACAGGCAATCATAGGTCCAGCTGAAAAGAATTGCAGAGAACAGGCCCTGTGTTCCAACTGGAACCGAAGGGAATAATAACAAGACAATGCTGAAGTTCTAAACATATGTTAAAAATGAGGACTTTTATCTGTATAATATTTACCTGATATGTATATAGGAAGTACATTGCATAATGACGATTCTCAAATCTTTACAAAGACGAGTCAATAACTAAACGGCTGATAAGCCTGGTGTAGATCCATGTTGATAGTGAGATTATTCTCAATGAAATCTTAACTGGATAAATCAAAGAAAATAAAAAGAGTTGAATCATTCTGAAGAAGCTTCGTATTTCTGGTATTTAAAGGTGTAACAACAGAAGACAAGGACCAGGCAACAGATCGTTTATTAGGGAAATCAACACATATTTATATATTTTCATGTACATTATTATAGATTATTGTTAGCAGAAAAACACAGTCTTCTGATTGGTTGTTTTTCACTGAAAGTTAATCTTTCATCTCTTTGGGGCTGTTTCTTGAATGTCAGATCATCTATAAGCTACGAAAAGTCTGCTGTGGTTGGTTGTTGGATCAGTCTTTGTTCATATTTTTCTCACGATCAATATTGGGGACGTAAACATTGACGTAAATTACTGTCTACCAGTTTGGCTAGCAGTCAGCTCTCACCACATAGGTAATGACATTTTGATGATGCTTACCTTTCAGCTGATATAAACTTAGAGTAATTTTCCTCAGTTTTCAGGCTTCCTGTCGTCCGACAAAATGTCGTCCCCTCTGACATTTTCTGGTGATAACTAGCAGTGGAATCTGGGATACGTATTTTATCCGAGTTAGGTCTCGTCTTCTGCTTGTATAAGTAACTTCATCTGATATAAAGCAAAATTTAAGATGTTTCTACAAAAAACACCTTACTATAACTGAAGCATATAATTAATGAAATGTTTTTACAACCTGCTTTTGAAAATTCTGCTTAAATGTCGCACAAAATTAAAACAAACCCTTGACTGTTATTTTTTTTCTAGGTTCGACTGTTCACTTTGGATGGACGCACACAAGGTTCACTAACAAAAACAAAACTTAAACATCCACGTGGTTTATGTTATGGTCTTGGATTACTAGCTGTTGTAGAAAGTCGACGACATCAAATCAGTCTTTATGATATACGTAGTGATCCACAATCACCTGTTCGTCGAATACCAGCTGATAGTACAGGAGATGAAAATTCGAATAAATTTGTTTTTAACAGTCGAACCTCATTGACTGAACCGTATTATGTAGAAATTCTTGATGAAAGTGGAGGATGTCTGGCAATTACTGATTGGGCTGCACCAAGTGTAAAATTATTCTCGCTTGCATCTGGTTGCTTTCTGTCTTCAATCGGTGGTTATGGAACTACAAGTGATAATGTAGGTTCACCATGTGTTTAATATTACACATTGTTCAACTTTTATCTAAATTATCATTAAGTTTGACTAGAGTATCGTACTTGGTGGACTAATTCTATACATGCAATATCGATGATACACTGAAAAGGTACTGAGACAAAGGTTAAAAAAGAAGTCATAAGATTAGAATGTTTATATTCTGTGAATTAGAGGTTATAGAGGATACTGAGTGCCAAATGGCTTAAATAAAACTTTGATTTTCCTTCAGAAACAGAACATTAGCACTGATCTGGTAATACGGTTCAAAACATTGAAATAGTTAGTTGTTACCAGGTGTTGTTTTATGAGGATTTGATCGTTTGTGGGTTTGATGAGGAGCTGAGATCAGTTAAAGAACCACCGGAAAACCAGAAAGTACTGGACAGCTGGCTGTTGTGCAATATATATATATCACGAATGGGTTGAAAATGGAGTCCATGTGCCGCTTAGTGAGGTCTTAGTGGCTGGACGTTCTACAAGCTGGCCTTGTAAGCGGAGGGACCATGGTTCGAACCTTGGTTGGCGCGTGATACTGAAGAGTTCCAAACTAGGACGAAATGACTATCAGTATTTTCCGATTTTCCAATGCTTCTCTATTTGATATCACCTTACGATCAAACCACTGGCTACTACTTTTATCATGGATCTTTATTTTATTAATATGTACCTTTTACATGAGACTTGTCTTAGCACTCAAACATATGCACACGCAGGTGATATGTATTTCAAAAATTTATTCATGAATACTTGGGGAGACTATTAGCCCTATTTAACAGGCAAACTATTGTTTTATGATGATTAGTGACTTATGGTAAAAACTCTGGTAGCAGAAGAATTAGTATCAAGTGATGTGGTGAATCTTAGACTACAGTCTTCTTGCTAGGTAGGTTTCCATTTTATATTCACTCATCATCCATCTACTTTAGTTAACAATCAAAACATCATTCTTTTAAATTTGACTTAGTGTCAGTAGAAACTTATTTCTCTAAGTCTAAATGATTAAAATGCCAATCAAACTGACCAAATGAGTAGTCGGTAGGCTGAGAAGCATTTAAACAAATTTAATATTTATTAAAGTGGATATACTGAAGACCTAAATTTACATTTTTTAAAAACCGTTTTAAGTTGAATGAACAGAACTGATGAATATTTTGACACTTTGAAGATTATTTATTTACGTCCGTCTCCAAGGTAACCCCATACATTAATTCCACTTTTTGAATTTGAATAAAGTAAGAACGATAGTTTCTGCTAAATAAGATGGTACCATCATTTATTTCGTTGGCATCTCATCATCTGGGTACAGCCTAAATAAATTACTAAGTTTTTTATTTACAGAACAATTCTAAAACACTAACAAATTTTGCATAGTGTCAGTTAACGGGAAACTCCAAACTTAATAAACAGTGTTCAGGAATTACACTTATACAGTTTATGCCCAGGAAGTTCACGTTTAAATAAAAATAAATGCTTGGTACAATGGCAAAAGAGTTAGGTAACAAAGACAAGAGGTGAACAAGACGGTGAGTCACTAGTAAACTGAGTAATAATATGTTGAGTTCATCTAAAATTATAGAAAAAAGAGACAAGCAAGATTACACTATATCAAAGGGGGGAGAGGTCAAACCCAAGGATTATGTAATCAAATGAAAAAGAGAGAGAGTAATAAAATCCAGTTACCAGGACAGGGAAAGACTGATAACTGCTTCTCTCTGAACAAATAAATCAAGTTTCAGGCGTTTGATAACGATTGTTTCGGCAAACTTGAGGCGATTCCATATTAGTTTGTTTATTAGATATATCACACAGTGAAACAGTATTATTTACTGGATGACGTTTCGAACAAAATTTATTGTTCATAATCATATCATTTGTAATCACCCGACTTCGAAACTTGAGTTTTATAGTTTTCTTTGTCTTCTCCTATCTGTCGTAGGAGTAGTAGATATCTGGAAAATTCTACTACTGAGACGTAGGATTTTTGGCATATGTTCAGAAAATCAGAGGTGTGCCCTTCTTTCTGTTCCCCCAATGAAACTGCTCCCGCAGATACACGTAAATTTGTATACACAGTTAGAGTTAACATGAGAAGGGTATCTGTCTACTTTTGTTTGCTCCAAAGACCATGCTGTCCGGTAAACAGGAACTAACTTAGCTGCAGAATAGGCTCTGCCTAGTAATGTCCTCAATCTTCTGTTGACAATCGCTGTAATATTTTCACCTTTATAATCAAGTTGGATGTAGATGGCCCTTTTTACCACTGTGATTTGCTTGACATTTGAGCCTCCATATCTTCCATACTTGTTAATGAACTTCTGAGGGTAACCGTTGTTTTTCAATATCTTTCTGAGAATCAGAAATTCTTCTGACTCTATAAAACAGAGTTTTGACTAGTGCTCGTTTATAGCTATTTCGACAAAAAACTATTAAAATGTAAGTATTGTCCATTCCATGTAGGCTTTCAGTAAATTGAACTCTGGAGACTACCAACATTCAGGAGTTGCATGGCGATGTCAAGGAAACGATACTCTCTATCACTTTCATGTTCCATAGTTAATTCATTATTTATATGTGCGTCATTGGACAATCAGAGTAGACAGGATTCATGACTTTTTTTGTGGCATATTGCAAATGTGTCATCGTCGTATCGACAATAAGAGGTTGTTTTGTCGATTGCAGGCTAAAACTTTGTTGTCTTAAGGTTGGACATGAAGATGTCTTCCAAAACAGGGTTAAATGAACTGTCTATAACTACACCATCTATTTGACAATAAAGATAGTTACCAAACTGGAGTTGTACATCCATAGTGTGCATTAGCAGATTAACAGAAAAAGAATAAACTTAAACTATCAAAAGGTGGTTATACTCTTATACCTATTCATTCATAAACGAGGAACAGGTGAAACTTCTAAGTTAAGCGTAGAAATGCTTGACAAAACTTCGGTTACAGAAGTGTTAAAGGTAATGAAAAGTAACACCTAACTTGTGTTAGTTAGAACCTCATACAGAAAATGACATGAATAATACTTACCTACGTCATAGGGTACATGCTCTGTTTAAGTTTCACTTACCATCCATCCATTAAGTATTTTTGCCTATTAAGTAAAACTGACGGCAGTGACCGTGTATTCTCCTGATTGACAAATTTTAAGACAATTATAGTATTATTACCCGTCACTGAAGTGTTTCTGCAGTCATGAAAGACTTCATTTCTGAGATTCAAAGTCTAACACTTCAGTCTTGGATAGGTTGTTGTTTGCCTGTCAGAGTATGTCCCGATGAATTACGTCAGAGTTTAGCTAAGTAATTGATAATACAGTCACTTTTGAAAAGGAACAACTTCGAAGGTACTGAAATCCATACATCCTGAGGTCGAAATTGAACAAAAACTGGACATCAGTCTTCTTGAAACATAAAGCATATCTGACTATTTACAATCATTTCATCTGATTTCAAACATCTAGAATTTTTTCAAATCAGTATTCTCACTAACAATAGCATATAAACCAGTTAACACCAATTTAATTTTGAAAAGTTAATTAAAACCTGCTAGAGATTACCTGCTTAAAACCAGAACCATGGTCACAGTTCTATTCTATCTAGTGTGCGCCTTCTCTCACACCTGATTTTAATTAGGACTGAATTCGATACATAAATCTTTTTCCTATTCATTTAGAAATAATGTATTGATCAGGTGATGAATTCATCTAGGGCGAAAGTCTGCGGGAAATAAGATGCACACGGTGCAAATAAAACAGTAATAAGAGTTAATTAATATTTACCTTTATTACAGATTCTCAATGATACAATCATATGACTTATAGACAAACTGTATTGTTTTCAACTGAATCTCCTTCCTGTTCAACTCTCATACAGATAGCTCTGAGAATACATAAAATCTTAACGAATGTTGATGACTTGTAGGTTGATAATAAAAGTTGTAGATTATGTATTTACTAGTAACAATAATCATAATGGAAATGATGATGATAAAGGTAAAATTAATGATAATACTGACGTTAGTACCAACGCCATCTCATCTCATCCAACAGCTGTACGACAATGCTGAATGCCAAGTAATCCACAACGGGAAACTTACGGAATCCTTCAAAATGTGAGGACAGGAGTAAGACAAGCTGACTGCCTACTATCCCCAATGATTTTCCTGATTGCAGTGGATTGGATAATGCGATAAACAGTGGGCAATGAGGAAACAGGCATAAAATGGACTCACACAAAATACCAACTTGGAGGATCTGGACTTCGCCGATGATATATGCCTGATTTCCCACAAACTGGAAGATATGCAAGCGAAAAGCAACAAGCTGACAGAAGAAGTATCAAAGATAGGACTTCAGGTGAACATAGAGAAAACAGAGGTGATGAAGATTCCTGGCCAACACCAACAGCCACAGCAACAACAACAGACAACGATCAGCATAAATGGAAGGAACCTGAAAGAAACAACCTCATTTACCTACCAACCTGGGAAGCATCGTTTAAACTACAGGCGGACGAAACTGATGAGGATATCAAAGCAAGAATCGGAAAAGCAAGACAAGCTTTCACTACTCTCAAGTCTGTGTGGAGGTCAACAGCACTCACCATCAAAAATAAGATCAGGATTTTCAAATCCAATGTGAAGTTAGTGCTACTATACGGATCAGAGACTTGCACTGCGCGTCATAAAGAGCATCTCAAACAAACTACAGAACTTCATTAACAGTTGTCTTTGCTCAGTGCTCAAGATCAGATGACCAGCCAGAAAAGATCAGCAACAGGGAGGGATCTCTGGCAATGATCGAACCAACCAGAAATCTATTGTGCAACAAATAAGCAGGAAGAATTGGAGATGGATTGGACACTCGCTGAGGAAACCATTAGGTGCCATCACTAGACAATCCATTGCTCCAGTGGAACTCGGCCGAAAGGGAAGCGGCGAGTTGGTCGTCAGTGCAAGGGTGACTTGGAGGAGGTCATG